GGTCGCCATGGCCCAGCCGCCGCCCGACGTTGCTGAGGACGACTGCCTCCCTGAGTATCGCCACCTTTTCTGCCCGGACCTGCTCCGGTGAGCGCTCGCGGCGCCGTCCCGGGGAGCGGAGCCTGGGCTCGGGGACGCCCGGGGGCAGAGTGGGTGTGCAGCTCCTGGAGAGCGAGCGCGCCGCTGCTGGGAGGCGGGGGCCCGGATGCACTCTGACCTTGGCCCTGCGAGGGAGGCGTGATGGCGGTGGACCGTGACCCGCTGGCCTGGGCATCTTGGGAGGCCGGGTGCGGAAGAAACCCTCGCGTGTTTTATGAACGAGTCTGACTTGGTTACTTTCTGAACAGAGGGTCTGAGCTGGAGATCATTTTCCCGGAAGACCCAGGGGCCCAGGGGTGCCAGTCTTTAAAGTCATTTTATTTATTATTATCTAATTTGCTATAGGGTATATGTGTTTATCAGAGAGAAAGAGAGGAAGCAAGCCACCAGGTCCAGGACTCGAACTGTGGTCGGCCGTGTGGGAGTCCAGTGCCCTTAACCACCACACTATCTGCCAGTCCCAACAGCCTTTTTATTTTTGTAATTAAAAAAATCCGTTTGTTTAATAATTTTTTAAAAAAGTTTGACCAGTGAAAGACAGAAAAGTAAAGCGAGAAAGCTAGCTGCCAAGTGTGGGACTTGAACCACAATAGCCTCTATGGGAGTCTAGCTCCTCAGCCACCAGGCAAATTGCTAGACATGCCTCCACAGCCTTTTTTTTTTTTTTTTTTAGATTTTTTGCTGTTGGTCTTGCGCTCACAAGAGAGACAGAAAGCAAGAAATTGCCCCTAAGGGGGGACAGCCAACCCCTAACCCCTTCTACTCCAGTCTCTTCTCAGAATTTTAGGTATTTACGTGTCTGGTGTGAGTTTTAAGCCACCAAGTCCAGGACTTGAACCATGGTTGGTCGACTGTGGGAGTCCAGCAACATAACCATTACACCATGTGCTGCTCCCTCTCCACAGCCTTTTTAAAGAGCCTTTATAAAATACTCTTGTTATTGGGAACCAGCAGTTAGCGTAATGGCTATGTCGCTGGACTCCCACGTAGTCGACTGCGGTTCGTGTCCCGGACCCGGTGGCTTAAAACTCACGCCGGGCGCGTGTGCGTGCGTGCATGCCCAAGATCCCGAGAGGAGAATGGAGAAGGGATTACGGCGTGACCACCCCCCCTGGGGGGTAATTTCCCGCTTTCTGTCTCTATGTCTCTCTCTGTCTGGCGAGCGCACGCGCCCTATAGCGAAAATCTCTCCAAAAAAAAAAAACTTTGTTATTATTATAAATTTGCTACTGGGCACATGCGATCACCAGAGAGTGACAGAAACAGAGAGCAAGCTAAAAGGTGAGAGAGCAAGCTGCTAGGTCCAGGGCTCTAACCGTAGTTGGCCATATGGGAGTCCACATGATTTTAACTACCATGCCACCTACAGGCTTTATAAAAAGCCTTTAAAAAATTAATTTGAGGGCCAGCAGGTGGCATAGTGGCTAAGGTGCTGGACTCCCACGGGGCCAGCCACAGTTCTTGTCCCAGACCTGGCAGCTTGCTTTCTCACTTTCCCTCTCTCTCTCTGTCTGTCTCTGAGGAACATGAAAAGAAATAATAGTGAATAAAATTAAATACATAATTTAATAAAAATTATTACTTTTTAAAGAATTATTTTATTTAACTTTATTTCTTTTAATTTGATCAGAGAGGGATGGAGAGAAAGTGAAAGTGAGAAAGCAAGCTGCCAGGTCTGGGACTGGAACTGCTGTTGGTCACGTGGGAGTCCAGCGCCCTTAACCACTACGCCACCTGCTGGGCCCCCAAAGTTATTAACTTTATTATTTTTTAAATTTGCTTTAGGGCACACGTGCTCACCAGGGAGAGAGAGAAAAAGAGGGAAAGGGGGCCAGCAGACGGCACAGTGGTTACATTGCTGGACGCTCACCTGACCAACTACAGTTCAAGTCCTGGACCTGGTGGTGGCTTAAAACTCACACTGGGCGGGACCAGCTGATGGCGTAATGGCTGTGTTACTGAACTCCCATGTGATTGACTGTGGTTCGAGTTCTAGACTCGGTGGCTTAAACTCACGCCAGGTGCGTGTGTATGCGTGCACAGTATCCCAGGAGGAGAACGGAGGAGAAGGGATTGCGGTGTGGCTGTCCCCTCTGGGGGGTAATTTCTTGTTTTCTGTCTGTTTGTCTGATGAGCACACGTGACCTATAGCAAAAACCTCTCAAAAAACAAAAACAGAACTCATACTGGGCACATGTGGATGTGTGCCCATGTTCCCAGGAGGAGAGTGGAGAGGAAGGGACTGCAGTGTGGCCTTGCCCCCTTGGGGGTGATTTCTCACTTTCTCACTGTCTCTGTCTTTCTGTTTCCCCGGCAAGGGCACATGCCCTAAGACCAAAACCTCTTTTTATTTTTGCTATAGGGCATGTGCGCTCGCCAGACAGAGAGAGGCAGAAAGCGAGAAATCACCCCCAGGGGGGATGGCCATGCCGCAGTCCCTTCTCCATTCTCCTCTCTGGCCCAGTGTGAGTTTAAGCCACCGGGTCTGGGTCCGGAACTCAAACTGCAGTCGGCAACATGGGAGTTCAGTGATATAGCATTATGCTAACTGCTGGTTCCCCAAAACCTCTTTTAAAAAATACAGAGGGGCCAGCAGGTGGCATGGTGGTTAAGGATGTTGCACTCTCACATGGCCAGCTGTGCTTCAAGTCCCAGACCTGGCGGCTTGCTTTCTTACTTTACCTCTCTGTCTTGCTCTGTCTTTCTCTGATAAAGATAAATAAATAAATAAAGCTAAATAAATCAATTATTAATAAATATATAATTAAATAAATAAAAGAGAGAGGGAAAGTGAGAAAGCAAGCCTTCAGTCTGGGACTTGAACTGCAGTCTGTCATATGGGAGCCCAGCTCCTTACCACCACGCCACCTCCTGGCCCCCAAAAGAATTTTTAAGGATCTTCCTTTTTCTTTTCTCAGGGACAAAGTGGCCTTTATCACTGGTGGTGGCTCTGGGATTGGGTTCCGGATTGCGGAGATTTTCATGCGGTAAGTGGTGCACTGGAGCCCTGCCCTAGGCTCCTTCCTGGGCCTTCAGGACCATGGGGTGCTGGGGTGGAGGCCCTCCTCCAGGGAAGGGGCAGCGGATGCCCACCCCCAGAGGTTCAGGTGCTGCTCTGGGGCCCATCAGACTCCTGTGCCCTGCAGAGCAGGGTCTCTTGGGCACAAGTTCCGTGGCTTCATGGAGTCACAGCTTGTCACCTGGCAGAGCCAGAGTTAGGCTGAGGTGAGAGGAGAGGGCCCTTCCACAGTTCTCCCTGGACCCTGCTTTTCATACAGGTCCACCCATCCCAGGTGCCCTGTTCTCATGAATTGGTGGCTTGCCTTTTTTTTTTTTTAAGAATTATTTATTTAGGGACCAGCAGGTAGTGTGGCAGTTAAGGTGCTGAACAAACCCACATGGCCAACCACAGTTCGAGTCCCAGACCTGGTGGCTTGCTTTCTCACTCTCTCTCTGTCGTCAAATTGAAATAAATGAATGAGTGAATAAAAATAAATAATTTTAAAAAGAGAATTATTTCTTTAGGGACTAGCAATTGGCGTAATGGCTATATTGTTGGACTCCCATGTAGTTGATTGTGGTTCGAATATCAGACCCAGTGGTTTAAACCCACACTGGGCACGTGTGTGTGTGTGCTCAAGATCCTGAGAGGAGGATAGAGGAGAAGAGATTGTGGTGTGGCCAGCCCCCGCCCCGGGGATGATTTCTCGCTTTCTGTCTCTCTGTCTCTCTCTGTCTTTCTGGGTACGCGCCCCGCGCCCTATAGCAAAAACTTCTCAAAAAAAAATTATTTAATTTTATTTATTCATTCAATCATTTCCATTTGAGCAGAGAAAGACACACAGAGAGGGAAAGTGAGAAAGCAAGCCACCAGATCCAAGACGCAAACCGTGGTCGGTTACGTGGGAGTCCAGCGCCTTAACCACCACTCCACCCGCTGAGCCTGCATTGGTGGCTTTGTGCATGCTGTTCTGAGCAGAGTGGGCCATTGGGGCTGAGTGTTTTGAGAATGACGCAGACTGTGGAGCCTGCTAGCAGGTGGTCACTGTCACTATGGCTGACTGGAAGATGGGCAGAGAGGTGCCCAGTGCCACTGGGACGGGCAGGTTTGCAAGGCTGAGCCCGGGTACCCGGCTGGCCTGCCGGTGTGGGCCTGGTGGCACATTCATGGTATCTGGGACATGGCCCACGTTCCTGTGTGGATGGGATACCCCGGGTGACACCCCAGGGCCCCGAGAGCTGCCCAGCTCGGCCCTGCGCCCTCTGCTCTGGTGGTCTCTGTCCTGTGTGACCTTCCTCCTGGTAAGCCTGGGGGAGCTCTGCACTGCGGGCAGCTGCTCCCTGCCTTTGTCCTCAGGCCTCGTCCTGACGCCCGCCGCTCACAGCCCTCTGCTTTTGCAGGCATGGTTGCCACACGGTCATCGCCAGCAGGAGCCTGTCAAGAGTGTCCATGGTGAGAGGGCCTCTCCTGCAGCTGGAGCCTGGGCTAGGAAGGTCCCCAGACCCAGGGGACGGCGACATCAGAACTTGCTTCAAACACGGAGCTGCAGGGGAAGTGGCCCCATGCTGTAACAAAACCCTGTCAGCTCTTCATGTGGGGTGATGTGCTCCCCCTGAGAGACCCCTGGGGTCACTGGGTGTGAAGGCGGCCCACACCTCCGCCTGCTTGCGTTTCCCACACCCACAGCAGCGGCCTGAAGGCTAGGGAGATTCTGGGATAGGCGGCAGGTGAAGTGGGTCTCACAAGTACGCAGCAGGTGTGTGGCCTAGGAGAAGTGGCTGCACACTGTGCTCCCTGGAGTCAGTCCTGCACGTGCTGTCTGCGTCAGACTCCAGGCCGCTCCCTGGACGAGCTGCTGCCCACCTCTCTCCTCCCCATCTGGCCTACAGGCTGCCAGGAAGCTGGCTTCTGCTACTGGCCGGCGGTGCCTCCCTCTGTCCATGGACGTCCGAGCTCCTGCAGCCGTCACAGCCGCTGTGGACCAGGCCCTAAAGGAGTTTGGCAAAATTGACATTCTTGTTAACGGTGAGTTTGAGTGGTGAGGCCAGGGGACTTCCGGTAGATCGATAGTGCCATGCTGAGGCCAAGCCTGGTCCCGAGTTAGGGACAGGCTGGAAGCCTGAGTGCCTGCCCAGGGCAGCCTCCGCCTGGGCCTGCCGGTGCCTTCTGGTGGTCGGTCAGCGCAACTGCAGCTCCAGTGGACGCCTCGGAGCCTTGCTGTTCCCAGTTGGGGCCCTTGAGGAAGGGAGTGAGTGACTTCTACTTTTGTTTGTTTTAGGTTTTGCCGTCAGGTACATGCACTTGCTGGAGACAGAGAGGGAGAGGGAGATCACCCCCTAGTGGGGTTGGCCACACTGCCTCCTTCATTTTCCTGGGGGCTTTGGGTGCACACACACGTGCCCGGTGTGTTTCGAGCCACTAGATCCAGCACTTGGTGTGTTGCCAGCACTGTGGGAGCCCGACACCCTGACCACCGTGCCACCCCTGGCCCAGGCCTCCATTCGCTAGTACAGGCTGAGATTCACAGGGTCCTTAAGCAGGTGGGACTTGTCCCACGTTCTGGCCCCTGCGTCTCCCGTTCATCTTGCACAAATCACTTCATGAACCAGCGTCGATGTTACTGCTCAGAACCCAGAGCCCATGGCCAGGTCTGCTCTGCGAGTCATTTCTCTTTGTTATTGGGCGCATGTGTGTGCCAGACAGACAGAAGGGGTGAGAAATCACATCCTGGCAGGGGAGCGTGCTAGAATCCCTTCTCCTCTATTCTCCTCTCATATTTTGGGCACACATGCACATATGCTGGCATTATTTATTTATTTATTTATTTTGGAGAGTTTTTTGCTATAGGGTATGTGCGCTTGCCAGACAGACAGAGACAGAGAGACAGAAAGCGAGAAATCACCCCCCAGGGGGGATGGCCACACTGCAATCCCTTCTCCTCCATTCTCCTCTAGGGATCTTGGGCATGCACACACGCGCCCAGTGTGAGTTTAAGCCACCAGGTCCAGGACTCGAACCGCGGTTGACTACGTGGGAGTCCAGCGACATAGCCATTACGCTAATTGCTGGTCCCATTTTTTTTTTGAGAGGTTTTTGCTACAGGGCACATGCACTCACCAGGAAGACAGAAAGCGAGAAATCACCCCCCAGGGTGATTTCCCATGAATAAATAAATAAATTAATTTCTTTTTTTTAAAGAATTTAACCAGCAGTTAGCGTAATGGCTATGTCGTTGTACTGCGGCGTAGTCGTAAAAAAAAAAAAAAAAAAAATTCATTCATTCATTTATTTAAATTTGACCAGAGAGAGACACACACAGAGACAAAGAAGAAAGTTGGAAAGCAAGCCACCAGGTCCAGGACTTGAACCATGGTCAGCCATGTGGGAGTGTCCAGCACCTTAATCACCACACCACCCGCCGGTCCCCTATTTATTTTTTTTAAAGAATTATTATTTTTTTATTGTTATGTTTTTTTTCCGCTATAGGGCACGCGCGTTCGCCAGAGAGACATAGAGACAGAAAGCGAGAAACCACCCCCGAGGGGCGGGGAGGGTCACACCGCAATCCCTTCTCCTCCATTCTCCTCTTGGGTTCTTGGGCACGCATGTACACGCGCCCGGCGTGAGTTTTAAGCCACCGGGTCCGGGACTCGAACTGCGGTCGACTACGTGGGAGTTCAGCGACATAGCCATTATGCTAACTGTTGGTTCCCAAGAATTATTTTTTTAATTTAACTTTATTTTATTTTGACCAAAGAGGGAGGGAGACAGAAAGAGAGAGAAATCAAGCCATCAGGTACAGAACTCGAACCATGGCTGGCCATGTGGGAGTCCAGCACCCTTAACCACCACGCCGCCTGCCTGCTCCTATTTATTTATTTTACAAACAAACACACACCAGGCACTTGTACGTGCATGCCCCAAATCCTTTTTTTTCTGAGAGGTTTTCTCTATAGGGCGCGTGCGCTCGCCAGACAAAGAGAGAGACAGAGAGACAGAAAGCGAGAAATCACCCCCCAGGGATGGCCATGCCGCAATACCTTCTCCTCCATTCTCCTCTCGGGATCTTGGGCACGCACGCACACGCGCCTGGCGTGAGTTTAAGCCACCAGGTCCGGGACTCAAACTGCGGTTGACTGCATGGGAGTCCAGCGACGTAGCCATTATGCCAACTGCTGGTCCCTATGCCCAAAATTTTGCGAGGAGAATGGAAGAGGAGAGATTGTGGTGTGTCTATATCCCTGGAGGGTTATCTCTCACTTTCTGTGTCTGTCTCTATTTCTCTAGTGAATGCACGCACCCTATAACAAAACTCTCTCAAAATAGTTGGGACCAGCAGATAGAGTAGGGGCTAGGGTTAGGGTTACGTCGCCGGACTCCCAAGATCCCAAGAGGAGAGTAGAGGAGAAGAGATTGTGATTTCTCACTTTGTCCTTTGTTTATCTCTGCTTCTCCGGCGAGCGCATGTGCCCTATATAAAAAATCTCTCAAAAATAGAAGCTTTTCCACTGTCCGGTCTAGGCCTGCCCCAATCTGACGTGACCTCACACTGACCTATTAACCTCCACAGGACCCCATTTCCAGATAGGGCCACACCACAGTGCCTGTCTTTTGGAGGGACCAAACTCACCCGTGACGGCCTGCCTTGCCCTGCCATTCAGGAACCTGGCTGCACGCTCGGGTCTTCCTCCCGTCTCACCCAGACCTCACTGAGCGTGCGCAGGGGGGGTCTGGGCGCCTGTGCCTGCGCTGCCCCTCCCAGGTCCCTGCACCACCTGCTTTGCCCTCTGCAGGTGCAGCTGGGAACTTCCTGTGCCCCGCCGGCGCCATGTCCTTCAATGCCTTCAAGACCGTGGTTGACATCGACACCATCGGCACCTTCAATGTGTCTCGTGTGCTCTACGAGAAGTGCTTCCGGGTGAGTGTCGCCTCAGCCCCGCTAGGCCCAGCTCACCACCCACTGCTGGTGTGTCCTGTGTGCCCTACGGGGAGTGCTTCCGTGTGGGTGTCGCCTCAGGCAGGCCCCACCCAGCTCAGCTCACTGCCCACCACCCACTGCTGGTGTGTTGCAGGACCGTGGAGGCGTGATCGTGAACATCACTGCGACCCTGGGCGTCCGGGGGCAGGCGCTGCAGGTGCACGCGGGCTCTGCCAAGGCGGCCGTGGGTAGGTGCTGTGGCCTGCCCGGTCCGAGTGGGCTCCTGTCCCTGCTGTCCGGGAGTCTGGCAGTCTTTGCTGCAGCTGAGCTTGGCCGCGGGCAGCAGCAAGGCCTGGCATCGGCCCTGCGCCCGGGAGGCCAGCTGCCTGTGTGCCCCTCACTCCCTCTGTCCTGCAGACGCGATGACGCGGCACTTGGCTGTGGAGTGGGGTCCCTGGAACGTTCGTGTCAACAGCCTCGCCCCTGGCCCCATCAGTGGCACGGAGGGGTTACGGCGACTGGGTAGGTAGGGCTTTTGGGGAGCCCAGGGCTCCCACAGATTGTCCCCCGCCTGGGGCACCGACCACCCCCTGACGCTCCGAGAGCTTTGCAGGGTAGAGGCTGAACACCTGTGCTGGTTGCTGTGGTGACTCTGCCAGCCCTACACATACAGGAACTGGTGGGGAGGGCTCCTGGGTACGCCTGAGCTTCCTGCTGCCTGCAGGTGGCCCCCCAGCCAGTTGGAGCACACGCAGCCTGCAGAGCCCCCTGCGGAGGCTGGGGAACAAGACAGAAGTTGCCCACGGCGCCCTCTACCTGGCCAGCCCGCTGGCGTCCTACGTGACGGGGACTGTGCTGGTGGTCGATGGCGGGGCGTGGCTGGCGTTACCCAATGACACCCAGGGGCTGCTGGGTCCTGCTTCCTCCTCTGCCAAGCTCTAGGTGAGGCGCCTGCTTGCCCTCTGTCTCCCTCCTCTCCCCTGGCCCAGCTCGGCCCTGGGCTGCTGCAGGAGGTTGAGGCGGTGACACCTGGTCATCCCTAGTGACATGGCCTCTGTGGGTGTTCTGCCGATGCCACAGGGCTACAGCAGGGGCTTTCTGAGGAGCAGCCTGCTCCTGACCTGGCCGCCTCCTGCAGGGCTCTTCCAGGGAGCACTCCTGGCATGCAGCCAGGCCAGACCCTCACGTCCGAATCCACTGGGGCCTGCTGTCCCCTTCCTCGGGGACTATGCCATTTGCACACTCACCCTCCCTGGCCGAGTTGTTGGGCAGAAGCTGCCAGGCAGCACAGCGGGCTTGCCCCTGTCCACACCGATGTCAGATGAGTCGAGAGGGAGGGGTGTGGCCAGGATGCTGTGGGCCTGCATGGCCAAGGCCTCTCTCCTGCCTGCCTGCCTGCTCTGGATAGAGGGTGTGTCCTATCCCACTCTCCCCCCACCCCAGGGTCTTTGTGCAGCAGAGGGAAGCCACGCCAGGGAGGCTGGATGAGCTAACCGAGCCACCCGGCCAGTGTGTATGGCTGAGAATCAAGAGCCTCTGGCCTGGGACCAGCAGGTGGCATGGTGGTTAAGGTGCTGGACACTCCCACACGGCTGACCGCGGTTCGAGTGCTGGACTTGGTGGCTTGCTTTCTCACTTCCCCTCTCTTTCTCTCTGTATCTCTCTCTGATCAAATTAAAATAAATGAGTGAATAAATGAAATTAAATAATATTTTTAGAAAAAGAGCCTCTGGCCCCATTGGGGCACCTCTGCATCCACCCCATGCATTCCACCTGCCAAGAGAAGCACCCTGTCTCATCTCGGGGCCAACCCCGTGGGCCAAGGCTTGGCAGCCTTGGCTCCCCTGCTTCACGTCCCCTGGCTTGTGCTCATCTGAGGCTCTGAGGCCCACGAGCCGGGACAGCACCCGTCGTGGCCTCTGTCCCGCGGCCAGCGCAGCGCAGGTCCCCGGGGCTACGTTATCTTTCAGTGTCGTTCATTTTTTTTTTTTGGAGAGGTTTTCGCTATAGGGCGCGTGCGCTCGCCAGACAGACAGAGAGACAGAGACAGAGAGACAGAAAGCGAGAAATCACCCCCCAGGGGGGATGGTCACGCCACAATCCCTTCTCCTCCGTTCTCCTCTCGGGATCTTGGGCACGCACGCACACGCGCCCGGCGTGAGTTTTAAGCCACCGGGTCTGGGACGGGAACCACAGTTGACTACGTGGGAGTCCAGCGACAGCCATTACGCTCACTGCTGGTTCCCTCAATGTCATCTTACTGTAGAAAACCTATGGACTGGATATTGCCAAAGTTCTCAGGATGAAAACACAATCAAAGAGAGTCACGGGGGGTGGGGGGGCACAGGTGGTGCGGTGGCTAAAGGCGTTGGACTCCCACATGGCTGACCAGTCTGTCCCGGACCTGGCGGCTTGCTTTCTCACTTGTCTCTCTTCCTGGTGAGCAGGCACGCTGGTAGCAAAATTTAAAAAATAATGAATGAAAAATTATACAAGAAAATAATGAAAAGAATCACTGGGAGTTAGCAAGTGGCGTGATGGTTAAGGTGCTGGGCTCCCACGTGGCCCACCACAGTTCAAATCCAGGACCCAGCAGCTTGAAACTCACCCTGAGCCTGTGTGCGTGCATACATGTGTGCCCCATATCTGAGGAGAGAACAGAGAAGGGATTGCGGCCCTGGGGGAGGGCTTCGTAGCCCTTCTCGGTGTCTCCCCAGCAAGCACATGCACTATGGCAAACATAAAACCCCGCTGCGCTGGCTGTGTGGAGCCTGTCGCTTGCAAACAGCCGGTCCTGCCGTTTGCTCCCGGTGTAGCGGAAGCACTTCCCCGTGCCTGAAGCCCTCATCTTCAGGCACGGCTGTGGCTCCCCGGGCAGGCCCAGGTGCTCAGGCTCAGAGTTAGGTGAGTGGCTCAGGACCAGCCATCTGTCTGCATGGCTGGCCGGCTCCAGTGCAGGTAGCAGTGGGTGAGCTGCCACTTCCCAAGTGCGGGGTGGGGCCTTCGTGGATACCCCGGGATCCTCAAACCCCAAATACATTCAGGCTTCCTGAGAAAGGAGGGAGTTTGACCCTTGACCCAGAGCCCTTGTGCCCGTGTGGATGAACAGTGTGAAGCTCACAACTCCTGTGGGCTCTAGGGGACTGTTCTCAGCCTGCCGTGGGCGGAATCCCTCCCGGGCACGTGGGCACGTGCGAAAGCAGAGGCCGTCCGAGGGCTTGCCAGCAGCAGGGGCTCAGCCAGAGTTTTAGCTGAGTCCTCTCCTAGGCTGCAGGGGCCACACCTGGGCGCACCTGGTGTCCAGCCTGCTCAGTACCTCTTGTTCGGAGTCTGGAAGCAGGGCACAGGCCATAGTAAGTGAGATTGAGAAGGTATGGCCACAGGCCAGCCCAGTAGCCTGGAGGTTAAGGGACCCAAGTCCCAAGTCCCACATGGCCAACCACAATTCAGATCCCAGCCCTTGGCCTGAGAAGCCAGTGGGCACATGTGCAGGCCCTGAATCCCAACAGGATGGTGAGACAATGGCCCATGGGAGGGTGCTTTCTCCTCTGGTGAGTGCACACACCCGGAAAGGAGAATTTATAGCCACAGACAGCACCGTGCCCCCGAGTGCCTGCGGAAGCTGGCTGGGCTGGCAGGCGCGGTTGACTGGTAGGAGCGTACCCCCTTTGGGAGTGGGTGGCCCGCACCAGATCCTGTCCTGACCTGCGTCCAGAGCTTTAGGAGAACTGTGGGGACTTCCCGAGTCCACAGTGTACCCCTGACACACCAGCACACAGACCCGACACAGCCGGAGAACCCTGCCAGGCTCTGGGTCTCCGTCCTCCCATCTGGGTCTCAGTGGCTCCAGCGTGGACGCGTTTTAGCCGGCTCCTGCCCTCTCAGCTGCCAGGACAATCTCCCTGACTCCCGGTCCAACTGGTGGGGGTGCCGTACTGTCTAGGAGAGATGGAGGCAGCTGGCACCGCCCGCCCAAGAGGAGCTGAGTCTACACCACGTCTGAGCAGCATATGGGGCCCTGTGCCACTGGTCTGAGTGGAAGGAGGCAGAGAGCAGAGCGTGGCCTTAGCAGACGCCCTCTTCATGTTTCAGTCACTCGCAGAAGCATGAGGCAGGGCCCTCCTTGCCTGAGCCTGGCCTGTGCCCCCAGTTGCAGGGCCTGGTTGGGCTGGTGGGTAGCCGAGAGCCACCAAGACCGAGCCACCTCCTCCAGTTCCAGGCTCTGGGCCCTGGCTGGGAGACTGAACTGGTTTCTGCAGGGGCCTCACAGGCCAACATCGGCCATCCCCCACCGCGTCGGGGTGCTGTTGGGGTGCCCTGGCTACATGGCAGCATCGCCCAGATGCCCTCATTCCAAGAGAGGGGGTCCTCTCCCCTGGCCTTTGTGGGTGCAGTGACTGGAGACTCCAGGACACTCGGCTTTGCCTGTTTAAGGAGATCCTGGTTTGGGGGGGCCAGAGTGTGGTGGTGTCATGCCCACTGGCAAGGCAGCAGGTGGGCCCTGGGACACTGCGGGAGAACCCAGACTGCGGCTCGCTGGCCCCGAGGCCTCCAGGCTCTCTGCCGCTTGTGCTCCACACCCCTGGTCACCGCTGTCAACTAGAGGACAGGATGGCATTTGCATGGCCCACCGGCATGTCCCCTCCAGGACAGAGGGCTGGGAAGCAGCTGTCCCGGACCCAGTCTCCCATACAGGAAGCCATCTTTCGTCACCTGTGTGTGGTGGTCAGTTGGCCCACCCCCAGCCCCGCTGCCAGGTGCAGGCTAGGATGGCCACTGGGGCTTGGTGACAGCCACACCTAGCACGTCAGTGGCCAGTGGCAAGGGAGTGAGAAGGCTAGGTGTGTGTGGCAAGGAGGGGCGGGGCGGTAGCTGGGGACGCAGGTCAAAGCAGTGGGGGTGCATCCCCACCACAGGACTTGGCGAGGACCAGATGGTCTGTGTTCAAGTCAGTAATCCCAGATCCCCACCCACACTCACAGGGCAGCTGCCCTGTAGATGGAGAGAGCACCGAGCTCTGGAAGGAGGCTCAGGGCCCGTGTGGACCTGGACTGAGGAGTCCTGACCCTCGTGCAGAAACCGACTCATAGGCTTTGGCCACTCCTGCCGCCGCCTCCTTTTTTTGGAGAGGTTTTTGCCATAGGGCACGTGCGCTCACCAGACAGAGAGAGACAGAGAGACAGTGAGAAATCACCCCCCAGGGGTGATGGCCACGCCGCAATCCCTTCTCCTCCATTCTCCTCTCGGGATCTTGGGCACGCATGCACATGCGCCCAGCGTGAATTTTAAGCCACCTGGTCCAGGACGCGAACCACGGTCAACTACATGGGAGTCCAGCGACATAGCCATTACGCTAACTGCTGGTCCCCTCCTCCTTTTTTTAAAAATAGTTTTTTTTTTTTACATAAGGCACATGCATTCGCCAGAGAGGACAGAGAGAGAGGGAAAGTGGGAAATCACCCCAGGGAGATGGCCACACTGTCACCTCTTCTCCATTCTTGGGATTTGGGGCACATATGCACACGTTCTTTTTTTTTTACATAAGGCACATGCATTCGCCAGAGAGGACAGAGAGAGAGGGAAAGTGGGAAATCACCCCAGGGAGATGGCCACACTGTCACCTCTTCTCCATTGAGAACTCAATTCCCATTATTGGTTCCCTTCCAAAAACCTGACCTTTGAAACCTTGCTCTGATTGGCCACTAGAATCCCTCAAATTTGCATATCCAGCACCTCATGATTGGCCCAAAAGCAACCAATCACAGCCCACTGTTTACGACCAATCACAGCCCACCGTTTATAACCAATCACGGCCCACCGTTTACAACCCACCAGTGTGTATATAACCACGATGCCTGGCCCACAGTAGACAGACAACACAGACCACCAGGAAGACAACGATGACAACCAGGAAGACGACAACTGAAGAGCCTGAAGAGCTGAAACACCGCGCAGTCTCCAGACGACCCTGAGGATCCTGAAGAGCTGACACTGCGTCGTCTCCAGACGACCTGGGAGACCCTGAAGAGCTGTAACACTACATC